AGAGTGTTAAAATCAACAGCTTTCTATAGTTTGCCACTTTGGACTGAGAGCTGTGCAGTTGGTGTTGTAGTTAAATTGACCCAAAACCTGAGTGAAGGTCATTAGAGTAATGCAGGTCATGACAATTGGAGCCAACAGACAACAGACAGACAGGCAAGTCTGCAGAGTGGACAGCCGCCGTCTGATGTCTGACCTAAATCAGGAGTCCAAAAATTGTGACATGAAAATGCACATTTTTGTTAAGGCTCTAATTAGACTTCTGCACATGCACCTGAAATATCCTTATTTATATTCAGCTCCATATCCATGTTCAAACTGCCTCAGGAGAGTAGCAAAGTGCTAGATAAGAGTCGATCCATTTACCATTACCATTCATAAAGACAAACTGAATTAATTTTGACTCTACTGTTAATTAGCTATTGAGTGTTTTGGTGTCACGATTAATTTCGGACAAGAAGCAGAGATGTGATATACATAAATCTGTTTAATTATTTAACATCCTCATCTGGAACATCCCAAAGGGCTTTTCCAAAGAGCTTTTTACTGTGAGAGTAAAACGCCCGCCCTCTTCCATTTTCCACTTTCTCTCTTTCCAGACTCTGATGCTGGAGGAATCAATTAAGAGTGGAGGTCTCCCTGTATTGAAACATCAGTTGGTAATCTCCAAGGTTATGTCATTTGTGTGGTATTTTATAATTTTGTCTTCATTGTAGATTTGTTCTGAAGGTGTATTTTTAGGCAGCAATATGGGAATGTTTACCATGAATGATCCCACTTTTCCTGCTATTTTTGTTAATATGTTTAATCCTAATGGGGCAGTTGCCTGGAGATACAAAACTCACTGCAACAGTGCTTGCTCGAGCTGCCACTTCTTTTAGCTTCTTACTTGGTTTTTGTTTAATAAGCCATTGCTAAGGTGATGGCATTCATGCACCTTCAGGCAGTAGTGGAATAAATCCATTAAAGGCTCGTCTATTACGGTAATCATCATTAGACGATTAAAAGCT